CCGCCAGCCCCGTCGGGCCGCCTCCACACACCCTCATCCGCCCTGACGCGCCCCATCTCTGCACACCCGCAGGGAAGGAGAAGAATGGCAGAGGCTCCGCAGCCTCCTGGCCCCGCTGCTCCTCCCGCCTCAAGCGGCCGCCCGCTATGCCGGGACCCTGGACGACGTGGTCCATGACCTTGTGCGGCGACTGCGGCACCAACGGGGACGTGGGACTGGGCCGCCCACCCTGGTTCGGGACGTGGCAGGAGAGTTTTACAAGTTTGGACTAGAAGGTGAGTCCCAAGACAGGGGCAAGCGTGGGAGGCCCCCGCCTGGTCTCCCGGTGCCCTGACAGCGCCCCCTCCCGCCCAGGCATAGCCGCGGTGCTCCTGGGTTCCCGCCTGGGCTGCCTGGAGGCCGAAGTGCCCCCAGACACAGAGACCTTCATCCGCGCGGTGGGATCGGTGTTTGTGTCCACGCTGTTGACCATGGCGATGCCCAGCTGGCTTCACCGCCTGGTGCCCGGACCCTGGGGCCGCCTCTGCCGAGACTGGGACCAGATGTTTGCCTTTGGTAAGGCACGGAAATGAAGTGGGGATAGGGGAACATAAAGCTGTTCAGGGATGGTGAGGCACCCCTGTACCTTCTCCCCCACACAGCCCAGCAGCACGTGGAGAGGCGAGAGGCTGAGGTAGCCTTGAGGAGCAAGGGAAAGCCTGAGGAGGACATGGGATCTGGGGCACACCTGACCTACTTCCTGTTCCGGGAAGAGTTGCCTGCTCCGTCCATCCTGGGCAATGTGACGGAGCTGCTACTGGCTGGAGTGGACACAGTAAGGTTCTTCTCCATGTTGGGAGCCCCACTTCCAGAGCTTAGCCTCTCCAGTTTCAGGGGCCACTTTGCTGCTGCAGGGGATCCACTATGACCCTTTCGGCCAGCTTGACTTAACACCTCCTGAGCTCCAGACTGCCTCATATTCTGCCCCCCTTTACTGGGTGTCCACTCTCAACACCTCTGAGGCTCTCAACTGTCCTCTCAGGTATCCAACACACTCTCCTGGGCTCTGTATGAACTCTCTCGGCACCCCGAAGTCCAGAAGGCACTCCACTCTGAGATCACAGCTGCCCTGGGCCCTGGCTCCAATGCCCACCCCTCAGCTGCTGCTCTATCCCAGCTGCCCCTGCTGAAGGCAGTGGTCAAGGAAGTGCTAAGGTGAGGGGATGGGAGAGGAGAAGCTAAAGAAAATGTTGGGAAGGGCTGGGGAAGCAGATGGTAAATGGGAGTGGGGAGAGCCAGCAGAGGAAAATGGTACCTACTCCTGGCCAAGATTGGGTTTGGACGTAGGAGGCTTGGGGACAAGAGGGAGGCTACAGCCCCCAGCCTCACCTTGCTGTTTCCCTCTTGTTCTGCAATCCAGACTGTACCCTGTGGTACCTGGAAATTCCCGTGTCCCAGACAAAGACGTTCGTGTGGGTGACTATGTTATCCCCAAAAACGTGAGTAGAGCCTATGGGCCCCTTTTGTTAAGCCATCCCTCACCATCTTGGGCCCCATCCTGTTCTCAAACACTCCATATAAGCCCTTCACCTTCCCTTTGGCCTGAATGCCTCTCTCCAGGATGTAACGGGGCAGTGGAGAAATCATTCCAAAAGTAGCCCCAGAAAACTTACCCCCTCACCAACCAGAGCCCGCCTTTGCTCCAATCCATATATCCTCTTTTCCATGTCCCTCCCTGCATTCATGGGCCCAAACTGACAAGTTTATGTTCTTTCCCCATCAGACGCTGGTCACACTGTGTCATTATGCCACTTCAAGGGACCCTGCCCAGTTCCCAGAGCCAAATTCTTTTCGTCCAGCTCGATGGCTGGGGGAAGGTCCAGCCCCCCACCCATTTGCATCTCTTCCCTTTGGCTTCGGCAAGCGTAGCTGCATGGGGAGACGCCTGGCAGAGCTTGAGCTGCAGATGGCTTTGGCTCAGGTGAGTGATCTCGACATACCTTCCCCAGACATGAGAGACCCTAACTCTCTAAAGCCATGAGCTCTTCTGACAAGCATAGCAAAATATATGACTTGGTAAACCTAATCCTCTGAATACAGCAATCCTGTTTTAAGCTACAGAGTGAGCAAGGGTATTTGGACTATTTTTTTCCCCCTGCCATAATCCCTTAAGAAATTCCCTACTGACCACAGGTGTCATTTCAATAGCGACCTAACATAATAATACCCTTTACCAATCAAACCCACCATTGTAGACCCCTCCCAAAGTGATAGCCTTCTTCCTCCCTTTCCAGATCTTGACCCACTTTGAGGTGAAGCCTGAGCCAGGTGCTGCCCCAATCCGACCCATGACCCGGACTGTCCTGGTACCCGAGAGGAGCATCAACCTACAGTTTGTGGACAGATAGTCCCATGGAAGGAGGCTATCATCATCACCCTTTCTCTCATTGTAGGGATTTATTAGGCACAAGACCAAGAGATATGTATTCCCCCTGAGACCTGTCTATTTGACCAGACTGGTTAGAAGGACACTAGCAAACTGCTTGAAGCAGCCCTGACCAAGGTGTGAAATGTGCCTTGGCCTGACCCATCAGGCCCTGTGAAAACCATAGTCCCTCTGCCTACTCAGCTTTTCTCCTGGTCTTATCATATGCATCCTTCAAGGGCCAGCTTAGATCTTAATAATGTTGGGTGGCCTGAGGAAGGATTCAGCCACTGCCCTTTTGGGGCTTCCACAGTGTTCAGGAGCTGCTGAGTAAGCACTTATCACCACGTGAGCTCAGTAATTATGCATCTGGTCTGCACCTGGTTGGTCTTCCCTTCTTGCATGTGAGCTCTTTGAGAGGAAGAATGAGACCTTATTCAGTCTTTATATCCCCTAATTGGGTGATGCCATACGGGTTCTCAGATTGAATCTGGACCATGTGGCAGAAGGGATAAGCAGCTTACCAGACTCTGTCTACTCTTTTTCTTCCTCATCTTGCCCCTGGCAAGGTGAGTCTGCCCTCACCTGGTTTATGATGTTTTGAAACTCTCCTTGACTCTCTGGTCACTATTAGGGGTTCGTTTGTCCCACCATTTAGTTCCTGGGCAGACATCTTTTGGCCTTATACCTGCTTAAGCCTTCCTTTTATATATTGGAATTTTTTAATATTCATAGTTTTGAAATAAAAGAATGAAATGTTCCATCCTTGGTTTTTGACTTACTTCTCTTCCACAAGTCCTGGAGGCAAGACCCTCACCAAATCCCCTACTTTGATTTATCTGATCCTGGGAGTGACCTCCATAACAATGGGAGGTCTAGACACCTGGGAGAGTGGTTTGCATCACAAACCCAACACTGTTCTGTCTGTACTGGGAAGAGCCAGAGTCTGGCTCCCTGTAAGAGATTAAGGGGGTGGTGGTGAGAAGTAACACCAAGGGTTAGCCTTTAAAAATGGGTTGGGGAGCTAGGGATTTGCAGAGATGGCCGAGGCAACAGACTCTTTGGTGGAAGTGCTTTTGGAACCTGGACTGCCAGGACCAAAGGATATCTGCCCTCTCTGGAAAAGTTGCTCTGAGGTAATTTCCTTCAGAGAAAGACAGATACATGCACAGAAGTGAAGTCAGACAGACGGGATGAAAGCCGAGTGTGGGGGTGGCCGGAAGCCCTGGGGCACTGAGGCAGAAGTGGGGAGGGCAGAAGGAGCCTCTGTTTCCCTGAGTCAGCATTCTCTGGCCCCCCCAGAGTCTGGGCACAGTTCTCCCCTTGTGATGTATACGGATTAACTCATCTTCCATACAAATCAATCTCTCAGCACACTTCCCGCAGCCCCTCCCTAGCCTAGATTGCCCTCCCCATGTCAGGACTTGCCCCCTGCCTCCTCCTCCTCCACAAGCCCGGCCCCCTGCCCTAGGCAGGGCTCCCTGACCACAGAGGCTGTCTGCCGCTGGGCCTTCCGAGGGCATCTATCTTTGTAAGATGTACAGAAGGGCACAGTATGCCTGAGGCCTTGTGCAGAGACCAAGGTTTGTGTGCCCTTACTGCCCCACCTCTCAACTCCTCTACCGTATTCTGTGTCCACCCCCACTCCCCTATCACTAAGCTTAACCTGAACCAAACTGACCTGGTTTTTAGCAGATCCGAACTTTGAAGGAGAATAAAGCCCAGCTTCCTCTCACACTCTTTCCCCTGGAATCAGTGATGAGAATTCTGTACACCCACATTCCTCACTGGGCAAGTACGACTGATCTACTTGAGGAGGGCAGCAGTCCCCATCACCCTTTTGTGACAAGAATCTCTTTAAGTTGGAAAAAGGGAAGGAGAAGGGACCATACTGATTGCTGGTCCTAACCCCTATATCAAGCAAGACCTCCCATGGTACTGAAAGGGAGGGAAACATACTGTCTCGCCTGGCCCAGTTTTAGGACCCAGAGTGGAATCAGAGAGGGTGTGTTTGTGTGTGTATGTTCTTTGGCACGTCTAAGCTTCCATGGAGGGCCATCATGAGGGACAGTCTGGGCTTGGCACAAGAAACCCCACCTGTGGCATACCCACCGGTCATATTTGCCAGGATAGGTAATAGTAGTCACTCTGATTTGCTATCTCCCTTCTGGCCCCCACCAGCTATTTTGTGAATAGCAAATCAGGAAAGTCTGGCCCTTCTGTCTTCCCAGGTGGAGAATATAGAGGGTTGTCTCTCTAGGGAAACGATATCCCACTGGAAAAAAATGGAGCACTTGGCCTCTGTCCCCTCTTTTTGATCTCCTCAGAGGTTAGAAGTGATACACCTCAATACTTCCAGGGACTCAAACCTGAGTCTGGCTTCAATGTGAACATTCCCAGGCAAGTCTGAGTGCCAGCACCATGGACAGCAGCCAAGACTCCCCCTTTCAGAGAAGGACAAAGGAAGACCATTTCCAGGGCAAGTGTGTGTGACCTTTAGTAGAGAAGCATTTCCCCCAAAACATCCCCAGGGAGGAGGCAGAGCAGAACCTTCCTGAGAAAAGGACCAATAATAGGAAAGGCGTCTGGATCTGACTTAACAATGTATGAAGTAATTATTTTAATTGCTGATGAATAGTTCACTTAAAAGACACCATCATTCATATAATACACAGCCCCAAGGCCTCAGGAGAAAGGGTGAAGGCCTCAGGTTGACCCACATTTTAACCAGTCCTTCCCAAACCCTTTCTCTATAAACAACAGCCCTCTACACAGCTGCCTCCAGGCACAATACTTCCTAGTTAATACCACTAGCTGGGGCACAGGATCAGACCTGTGACCCTGAACTGCCATAGGAGTAGCTTAAGCCGGGGTTGGAGATTCATAACATGGGGACATTCTGTCTGTCTCACTCCAAATGAGTCCAAATTCATTTCACACCACTTCCCTGGGTGCGCACATTACCTGGGAAGGACTAATAGAACCCACAAGATCCCCAGAGCAAGAAGGATAGCTCCATCCTTCCCCAGCCCCGTGTTTAGGGGGTTGGAGGAGCTCTCATTTTTGCAAATAACCACCATCCTTCACATTTGCAATATCCATTTCCCCTCATATTTCCATTTCTATTATGATACTCAACACAAATTTCCAAGGCTCTGTGCAACTCCAGATGAAAAAACACATTCTGGAATTTGTTAACCAGCTACTATTTGAAATAAATGGACCATCAACTAGTCTAGAAATCTTTTTACGCCATCACTAATTTTCTTTGCAATGGCATTCAACCTGTCCCTCATTTATCCTCATTCCAACCCTATGAGGTAGACAGGAAAACCACGGCGGAGAGATTTTTTTTTTTCTTCTAAATCATACAACTTGCAGGTGGCAGGTCCACCCCTTAGATACCTCTGAGCACTGCCACCTAGCAGCCACTGTGAATTATTCACCAGCAAGTGGGAGTCACACCTCCAGCTCAGAACCCACTGCTGCATTTGGGATTTGCAACCCCTGCAGAGAAACCTCCCCACACCTCCCAACCCTCCAGAAAAGCCCCAGATGAGAAAGGAGTCTCCACGTGCATATAAATGATTCTTTATGCCCTCCCCCCCATGCAATGGGGGGTGGAGCAGGGGGAGGTCCCCCCGCCCTCATGCAGGGAACGGGAGGTCAATGTACACTAGTCTTATTGCCAGCTGCCCTGTGGCCATGGGGTGGGGAATGGGGGGTCTACAACCCCTTTCTTCTGGCATTGGTCCCCCTTCACCAAGTCACCATGGTGGAGCTGGGGGGCTGGAGGCCCTAGGAGCTGAGGTAAGGACGGTTCTCTAGGGAAGAAAAGGTGCTCTCCCCACCTGCCCACTGGCTGCCCCAGGATGAGTGTGAGGAGCTATCGGTGGGGACTGGAATGTCATCCAGGTGTCTCTACCCAGTGGGTAGTAGAGGCCAGACAATGTCTCCAGCTTGAGGCTGCCCACAGAGATCCTCAGTGGTGGGGGCAGTGTGCCCCAAACACCTTGTCCAGGTGGTACCTCCAGCAGCCATGACAGGTTATCTCTGGCCGATGCATCGACTCAAGATCCCTGCTCCTGGAGTTCAGTTTCAGACCGTGGTGACCCTCATGACAACCTCTCGGCCAGAATGGGAACTGGAACGGGCATCTGGTGGCCGCAGCTGTCCAAGGAGGTGCAGGATTGTGTAACCACAGCGCTGAGGCAAGAGCGTCCGCATGCGCTGGGCAGCCGGGGGGCGGCTGGTAGCCCCAGAGAGGGGGCCCGTCCGTGAGGTCCTGGGGCCTGGCTTTCCTGCCGTCCCTCCCCCTGCATCTCCTCCTATGTCCTTGGTCTTGTCATAATTCAGGACCTTCCACTGCTGGTTCACTGCCTGCCAGCGCTTGAAGATGCGGTAGACGGAGGAGCCTTCGTGGACGATGAGGCCTGAGCAAAAGGGAGAAGAAATCCAGGGTCACCTGCTGCCCAGACCTAGGCCAAAGGTACTTAAGCAAGTATTTCTCCAGAGTGAGGAGATGGAGTCTGTAAAAGGCCTGAGGAAGCAGGGAAGGGAGAGGCACCAAGATAGCCTTAGAGGCTCCCAATCGTAGAAGATGTGGCTGTGGAGCTGAGGGAACGGGCAAGGAAAGTTAAGTGTGTGAGCTGCAGGAAGACACTGAGCAGGTAAGGGGGAGAGAGGGGCCCTCACCTATGCAGACGACATCCATGAAGCCGTACATGCCGTAGCAGATCTGAAAGAGCAGATCCTGCCGTTGCCACTTGGCTGAAGGGCTGAGTGAGGACCAGACGAGCCAGGAGATGCTGGCGACGAGGAAGAGCGAGCCCAGGACTATGGCTGCGATCTGGACCTTCTCGATGACCGTCAGGGAGATGGCCTGCCACTGTGTGGGAGAAAGGGCTCCAAAAAGTTACAGAAAGAGAAGGAGGGTCAGGTGATGAGTGGCCCTGAAGAGGAAGATGCTCCAGAGCCTTCCTGAAACCCTTCAGGCAGGATTAGCAATCTGTCTCCTCTGTGCCCTGATCAAACATAGTATGGAGCACTTTTCACATTGTTTGAGACCATTTGTCTTATTTTAGGAAGGCAGGATCAGGCAAGTGCTCTGACCAGACCATCTAGGTTTGAATTCCAAATCCTAACTCCATCACTTACTTGCTGAGTAACTTTGGGAAGGTTTTTATATCTCTTTGAGCATCAATATCCTCATCTTTAAAATGGAGATAATAATGGCACATAACTAATAGGATTATTATGAAGATTAAATGAGTTACTATAGGGCGCCTGGGTGGCTCAGTTGGTTAAGCGACTGCCTTCGGCTCAGGTCATGATCCTGGAGTCCCTGGATCGAGTCCCACATCGGACTCCCTGCTCGGCAGGGAGCCTGCTTCTGCCTCTGACCCTCCCCCCTTCTCATGTGCTCTCTCTCTCTCTCATTCTCTCTGTCTCAAATAAATAAATAAAATCTTTAAAATAAATAAATAAATAAATAAATAAATAAATAAATGAGTTACTATACACCAAGAGTGTAACACATAGAAAACACACCATGTTTGCTATCATCATCATCTTCTGCTGCTGCCTTTTTTTTTTTTTTTTCCTGTCTCAGTGCCTAGAACAGTGCCTGGACTACAGGTGGCACCCAATAAATGTGAATAAATGAAGGGAGGATTTACAGGCAGACAGGAGATTGTGATAACAGTGGGTAGGGGTAACTTTGAGGAAAGATGAAACAGATAAATAGGCTCCCTGGAGAGTCCCTGATTCTGACTGCTGAAAGGCCTTTGCCCCCGTCTGGAAGTTCTCTCCTTGCACCTCACCTGCAGCGGGTTCTTGGTGCTGATCGCCAGGACCTGGTATTTGAAGTAGCAGAGCTCACAGCTCCAGGAGCCCCTCTCACTAATCCAGCGGATGAGGCAGGGCTGGTGTGTGCAGCGCACTGAGCCGTCGCAGCGGCAGGGGCTCAGGAGCTCCCCCTGGAGGAAGAGTGAGGAGGGTCCCCGTCAGCTGTCACCACCCGACCCCACTCCTCTCCAACCCCTCCATATCAGTCATTCCCCAACGTTAAAAAAAACAAAAAACAAAACAAAACAAAACAAAACACCTCAAGCCTTTCACCCAAAATAGGGCAAGAGGCTAAAGCCACAGCAAAAAAGAAAAAAGTTAGAGCTGAAGGTAAACTTCCCTGACCAAATAGACGAAGGATAAAAAGAAATGGGGTGGGGGTGGGGAGGAATGACTGGGTCTCCTCCTTTCCTAAAATTTGGGGAGGGTGCTCTTTAAGGCTTCCCAAATGGAAAGCTACCCCTTAGGATCTGGAGGGACGGGAGGATCAGAGCTTCTGAGCCATGCCTTCCTCCTCCTTCCCATCGCTGTAAAGTATTTCACACGTGTGGTGCAGACTGGGATGGGTTATTGTCCTCAGTTCCAAGTATCAAAAAGCGGGGAGAGATCCTGGGTGTGGAACGGAGGGTGTCCGCCTTTAATCAAGGAATAATTTCTCATGACAGACACCTCCCACCCCCCAGCACTATCCCGGGACAACTTTGTCCATAACATTTAAACAAAGAGTACTCTTTGGAATGAGATGGAAAGTTACGGAATGGGAAGTGAAGAAAAGTGCCCCATGGAGAGAAATATTGAGTGAGGCAAGGGCGCCAGCAGGGCCCCTCCCTTCAAAGGGGGAACAGAAGCACTCTGCCCACCTCCGAGTGAATAGGCCCCTCAGCCTACAGAGACCCCGGGGTGAGAGAAGTGGGGCAGAAAGGCTGTCCCCGTTAGTGGATGAGAGGGATTTGGAGCCCTCCCAGGAGAAAGCCCCACCCTTTCCCTGGAAACTCCTGACCTCCTCCACCCCAAACGTGCGCTCCCGGACTCTCCAGCCAAGCCCCCCCAGCCGCACCCGGTACCCACTCTGGGTCCTGAGTCCTGGGTCCCGCCCTGCCTCCTCAGGCCCCGCCCCCTGTTCGTGGTGGGCAAGGGCGCCCCAGGTGCGCGCGCCCCCACCCCTCCCCGCCCCGCCCGGTGCCCAGGCCTGACCTGCTCCGGACCCTGGAAGCAGATTCGGCACTGGGGGGTTCGGAGCCCGCTGTCCAGGCTGCTGCTGAGCGACAGGGCGTCCAGCGCGCCCGGAGGCGGCGGCGG